GATACCAGTGTGTAAATTAGTGGTTATTTTTATAGAGAAGAAATGCTGCAACCCAAAGAACTAGTCTTTTGGCACTAAAATTAAGTTTAGTTTTGAAAGAAAACCAAAAGTCCTCGAGGAAAGGGAAAGTTCTTCTCTACTGAGAATGAAAATAGTACGAAATGGAATCGCTTTGCCCAGTGAAACCTCTCTTAACTATTTTGCATCGATTCATGAGTTAATTGATTCGTGAATTAATGCATTAACTATTTTTGCATCGATTCATGAGTTAATTGATTCGTGAATTAATGCATTCTAAGAGAAACCGCGTTAAGAGAATATAGTAAAAATATGAATAATTATAATTCATCCACCAGTTGATATAAATTTGGAAAAAAAATTATATTTTATACGTTTTAATAACTTTTTAAAATATTTTTTAATATTGTGTTCTAATTTTAAGTTGTAGAGTTAAAGCTATAGAAATTATAAAAACTGAGTGGCTGGAATAATTGTATAAGTTTTGAAACTAAGTCAAAGAATTTAAGTAAGAATAATTTGTTTTTACTTAAACGAACCTTACGTTTCTTATTGAATTGTGAGAACAAAGGAATTTTATTATTTGTTTAAACCAAAAATAAATACTAAACCTAAAACTAAACAGTTATTCAAAGCGAGCTGTGTCTTTAAGATTATATTGAAAATGTTTCTTTAAATAAGTATGTAGTAAGTATCAGTGTCTCCACATACTTCTTAAATGCAATAGCTATGTTTTTCCCTTTTTTTCAAACCATTTTAACTATATATTGCGGAATTTAAACGAGTCTATCAGTACAAAATGACTCCGAAAAATTTCGCTTTAACTGTTTAAAATCATTCGCTTAATGCTTAAAATAATATATTTTCACTGAATCATGTTAATTGATTATTCTGCATATCGAATTTGCGTTGAGCTGAATTTATCTATAATTATAATGCGCATAGATTAAACATAAATTTAATCTGAATTGGGAAACCAAAAGAATTAACATGATTCGTTTTATTGCGATCGTCTGGAATCCAGCTCGTGAAATACTTGAAACTGGTTGCCCCAAAAAGAGAATTGTTTTCAGTCATTCAAAGTTCTAGTTGTTCGTAAATTATAGTCATTCATGTTTTTAGTTTTGTTTTGTAAAATAAAGTTTTCTAATCGTAATCAAGAGCGCATCTAGTTTTACGGATCTAAATTTGGTTTCAAGCAGGTACTACGTAAATAACTTCTAATTCTATATGGATTTTTTTAAAAAAAGCAGCTGATGAAAATCATCCTTTCTTCACCCCTCAAAAAATTGTTTACTTAAAATTTGTATGTCCTCTGACTTGCCATGAATATTTGCTAGCTCCAAAATTTTAATAATATACGAATGACTTTTCAGTCATTGATATCAAAATTACGGATTATGTAATTCTTAAATTCTCCGCTTGTCATATTATGTCAAATCTAATGATTTATTAGTTTAGTGACTAGTGACCTAAATTTTAAAGCGAATAATCACCATTACAGGAACAATTCAATTAAATTAACAATATTCAAAAGCATATTTAATTAACAAATAAACATCACCTCAATATTTTGTAAATATATACTTTATTGAGAAATAAATAGTTATTTCATATTTAATTCTTTCTATGGTATTCAGAAATCATGAAGCTACTGATTACACCAATGCATTATATCTATAATGTCTTGAATTTTGTTTTCTTTGGTACGAAAGAAAAAACTGTGAGAGAAGTAACGGAGAGATTAGTGATGATATTGAATGTTTGAATAGATCTACTCTCATAACGTATCTACTCATAAAGAAAAAAAAAGCAATAAATGTAAAGATTTATGGAACGTTACGTATTTTATTAGAATTTTTATTTGTTTAATACAATACATTTTACAGCTGAATAAAAGATTGAAAGGAACTTGAAATTTATCGGTAACTTTTAGAAAGGTATTTGTGTTTCTTCAGATGCACTTTTTGGTTTAGAATTTCTGCGAATGTGATTAATTTCTGCCCAATCATTTTAATTCATCATTAAATTATATATTTTAAATAATGATACATGGAAAGAAGAAGACGTCAACAGAATTCTCAGATTATTAAGTTTTAAATCAAACAAATGTGTGAATGTAGTATTTTTGGATATATCAGCAAAAGCAAATGAAACATTATTCACTTTCCGCGGCAAATTTTAAAACTTTTTTTTATCTTCTTCAACAAAGATGAAGACCAATCCCATTTACATGCTTCCAGCAGAATACATTTGAGGGTAGTCATTTTGATAGTAATATAAGAAAAGTTATTTGTGTTGTGAGAAATTTATGTTTAAAAAACATTTCTCGAATACAAGAGGAAATGCAAAAGATAAATAGCTAGCAGTTCTAATGTTACCGAGAAAAATAACATCAATGGTGACTCAGATGTTCAGAAATAAATTATCGGAGATTTAAAGTGATTATAAAAACAGATGTTGATAGGTTTAACCTGAAACTCATATTCACTAACCCTTTAACTGCGTTTGCGTACAATCAGTCGATCAAACAAAATTTCATTCAGTTATTATCATTTAAAACCAACTGTCTTATTCGAAAACGGGTGATGAAGATAATTTTGCAGAGCTTTATGTTCGGTTACTGCAAGTAATCACTGTTTTTTGGAGGCTTTAAAGACTTAATAATGCTCATGTTTAAGCGTCTTTTTTTTTACTTGTTATGCGCATCTAATGCAAATTTACAGAATTATTGATCTATAATTGGTAATTAATTAATTGTCAAAATATATCTCACGTACCATCGTCACTGTTTACTCATTTAGCAGTTTTACTTTTCAAATCTTATCAAAGAAAATATCCGAAGTACGAGATTGAATTTTCTTTCTCTTAATCTGAAATTAATATTTTTTACCGCTCTCTTTCCAAATTTAATGTTATATGCTATCATTGGTAATTAAGAAAGGTACACAAACGTTTCCTAAGAAACATGCATTACTATGAATAATATAAATTTGCATAGATATTATTCATAGTAATATATGTTACAGTACATGATATTTTTATAGTTTTTAAGCGCTAGGATTATAAGGTATTTCTCCTTCTTGGCGTGCCTTCGTGGTGTGGTGGTCTACACGCTGGGCGCGTATTCCAGAGGTTCGTGGTTCGATTCCCGGCGAAGGCGTTGCATATTTTTCATCTTTACTACATCCAAAATACCTAATGTCTCTACAGTGGCGCCCAAACTTAAGGGGTGGTGGACGATGACTCTCCACACCCTGTATTTGGCGATTGGGTCCCCTAGAAACCCCAGTCGCTCTTTAAAAGGGGGAGTATATAAAGTATTTCTCCCACTTTTTCTTGGCGTGCCTTCGGGGTGTGGTAGTCTGCACGCTGGGCGCGTATTCCAGAGGAACGTGGTTCGATTCCCAGCGGAGGCGTTGCATATTTTTCATCTTTCCTGCTTCCAAAATACCTAATGTCTGTACAGGATGAACTTAAAAATATTTAGTCTGACTCGTTTTGCATAGCAAGAAATACTAACGATTCCATTACTTATAAGCGAAAGGTAACAAACAGAGCTGTTGGCCAAAAAAATTTTGACCAAAAAATGTTAGGTTTGTAATTTGTAAAGTGTGAACTTAGTTCGATGTACTCTTAAAGTTATATTATAATATGGTATGTAATGATAAATTCATATTTATTGAATAATTGTCATTTTCTGTCATTTTGATCCTAAAAATTATTAATAGCTTGTATTTGTTAAAATTTTCTGAAAATTCAATGTCTTTCTTGTCATTATTATAATCATATTCTCATGCCTTATTGCAAAGCGTGAGATATTTTTTATCCTAATTTTAAATCTAGTGCACTTTTCCGTAGAAAATTTATTTTCTTTTGTCAAATCCTTTGAAACATAATTAATAATAATAATTAATTTGATTTATAGCAAATTTTACAACTTCTAGAAAAATGAATGATATGTTCGCCTATCCTTTAGTTACAGACAAAAATATGATATTTTTCCCCCACCAGTGGAATATATATTGCTGTTTGCTGCAAAACCGTACTTAATTCCGCTAAAACTTTATAAATCTACGAAATTAATTATTTTCAGGTATAATCGCTTTGCGAAAGGTTGATTAATTTGCATTGGAAAGTTAGTAGAATTTTTAACCCAAAAGGGCTATTAGTCTCGAAACTGCATTTTGCGTTGAATCACTAAAAGGGTTAAATCACTTTTCATATTGTTCCCACCAAATATTATCGATCTGTATTACGTTAAAAGAAATTCAGTAATGAAGAAATCTGCGTGAATATATGTATGTTTCAAAAACAACGGTACCTAGAGCCATCAAAATATGAATAACGTAATGCTCCACTCGAATATGGGCACCTGGAAGCCCGAATTTCGAAATTGTTTTATTCTTTTATATTTTTTAAAACTTAAATGAATTTTCATTAAAAAATTGAATGATTTCAAAGCGAAAACTTTTTTATTTCCAGCGCGCGAGACTCTATGGGAAACTCTGAAGATAATGTTGTTTTTAAATATTTTTAGCCGAAATGCTCTCAAAACATGTGTGTGTATAAATGAAAAATCGTCCATTTGAGCGTAATATAAAAACCGAAAGCTTTCAGATTTTTTTATGTGTATTTATTTGCAATAATTAGCTTTCCCCCCCCCTTAAACGATGAAAACATAAAGGCTTATGGAGAGGAAAGAATTCCTTTGTTTATTCTATTTTTATTCTTCGATTCTTTCTTTTCGATAACTATCCATTTTAAATAAATTATTTATTTGTCATAATTAAATAATTAGCTCATATTCTATGCTAATTATTTTAATAAACCAATTTCAGGAAAATACATCAAATTGTCGCAGGCTGTTATCACAATTTAAACACTTTTAAATTTTATGCAGTGCTATTTTTTTCGTGAAATGCTTTTTTTTTTTTCCCTCCCAGTTGTTCTTGTCTTATATAAGTACTTAATTATTGCAGATATATGTTCGAGCTCAATTTGACTACAACCCAAATGAAGATGAATTAATCCCTTGTGCACAGGCGGGTGTCGAGTTCAAAACGGGAGATATTCTGCAAATAATAAGCAAAGATGATCACAACTGGTGGCAAGCAAGAAAAGAAGGATCAGATGGCACCGCCGGACTTATACCATCTCCGGAGCTTCAAGAGTGGCGGACGGCCTGTTTGGCTATTGAAAGCTCTAAAAATGAACAAGGTTTGATATAAAAGTTTGATTTTCTTTTGTAATGTGTGATTTTTAATAATGGCATGGGAAATTTGTCTTAGTAATTCTGTCATATTCATATAGCTTTAATTTTTATGCAGGTTTAAAATTTTATTATATTGGAAAACTTTTCTCGCCACACAACGTTATGACATACTTTTCGAATTAGTTAGACTCGTTACGAAAAATATATTTCTGGGTCAACAATTTTAGTTCCTTATCCAAAGAGTTGTGTATAATGCTTATCTTGACCGAAACAGATCGAAGAAACGTAGAAACTAGTAGTTCTGTTGAGAATGTTTGGTAAAGAAGATTGCAGAAATTATTTTAGTATGATGCTAACCGCCTGGACAGTCTGGTTATCGGACGCAGGCTGACAGATTCCCACGCCGTTAAATCTGGGTTCGAATCTCGGCTAAGCCATGGCATGGATAGTTGTAGTGTACTGGCAGCACTGAGATGCTGAAGCTTGTCGCGCTAAGAGTGTTCACGGAAAATTCTTGATGTGGTAAGAAGGCGTATAAAACTCTCTGATTTGATTTTCCCGATGATCCGCTGTCAAAATTGGGATGGAGCTTAAGCAGTTAGCTCTTGTGTGCTCTCTGTAAATCAAGAATCCAGTTAGGCGATGCATATCAATACCAACTAAACCTCCATTTAATAAGGTAAAGGATAACAAAGGTTAAACTACTAAAAGAAATTCGAGCAAGAATGTATGTTGGGGATGCAAACATCCATGTGAAACAAAAGAGGGTTTCCAAAATATTATTTATCATGAAATTACTGTGAACTGAAACGAATCTAGGATCAAATAATGAAACCCAATTAACGTGAAAATAAAGTAAGAAAAAGATAATTTACGAAATATAATTCACGAATTTCTGGACTTGCGATCCAGTTTTGGATGTTAGAAATTTCGAGACTGCAAAATTTATTACTGTAACGCAATAAAAGATAAATGTCTATAAATAAACCTTGCATTTCCTGAAAAGCGCAGACTCTATTCAAAATGCTATGAGCTGATTGCGTTCATGTGAAATAACGACGAAAAGACAAAAACATAAGAACGGCAGTAGTAAAAAGACTCAAAGCAAAGGTTTAAGCCTAAGAGAGACGCCATAATCTGAATATATTGGAAAATGTTTTTAAAAAGTTTAAAGAACTTATTGAAAAGAAGATAACTGAGAAAAATACAGTTGCAAGTTCAAATAAATTGGATAAAAGGAGAATGTTTTTCATGTGGTTCTTTGGCTTCACGTAGGTAGCGGCATTTGAAGATGTGAATAAATTTTCGAAATGGAAATTCTCCGACTATTTCGCAAGTTATTTCAGATATATAAGTAGTTCTAAAATCAACTTAAAGCTGTATAGTAAGACTCAATATTATAAACTTTACTGGTAGTTTACTGGCCACTGGCTGCTTATCAGTCATTTTATTATTAGAAAGGTGGGTAGTGGAATGTGGAGTTATTCCGCTGGAAACATTCGCTCATGATTTTACTTTAAAATATTTTTAGGGTTATTTAGCCTTAAATGCGGAAGCGAGTTTTTAGTTAACAAAATGACTGTTGGTGTGGCTGCGATATTTGGGTTCATTATATTCCTTCTGCTTTCCAATTGATTTAGCGTGCGCTTCAGCACTTTTAATAACCTAAATTGAAAACAGTGTTTTCCCCAAAATAAACGAAATGTTTTCTTTTATGGAAAAGGCAATATTTAGGTTTGAACTTTTTGATAATGGAAATGAACTAAATAACTCAATAACTTCTTACCGTAAATAGTGAAGATTTAGTTGGGATTACCGTAATTTTATTATTTTAGGCAATATGAAAATAAAAGATACGAGAGTTAATTTTATATTCTATTTATTACATTACTTTGGGTTATTACCTAACATTTCGTGTTGATCATTTTTATGTATTGCCGTGTACTGGTCTATGCTGCTTCTCATTAGATAAGCGAAGATAATTTTATGATTAATAAGAGATATGGCGATGATATTTAAGGTATAGGTAAAAGACTATTTTATTTTTTCTCAAATAAATTACATACCCTGACTTTACACTCAAATATCTGGAGGGAAAAAAAAGAAGACATAACCATTATTATGGTTTTCTAAATTATGCGATGTTTGGATAACTTTGGGAGATATTGCTGCTGCGTCTATACCACGCAGTCATTTAGAAAAGAGTTAATTTGCATATTATACATTTGTTCAAGGAAAGATGATTTGTTTTGATTGGTGTTATCAATCAAAAAAATATCCTTCCTAGAAAAAGTAATGTTTTAGGAGCTCTGCCTCTTTTCCTAAAAGATATGAAACCTTTAGAATTATCGTTATCATAAAAACACGGATGTTTAGACACTGGAAAATACCGGTAGATAAAATATTCGAGAAAATTCTAGCTAAGGAAAGGAACAAAGCCACTGCCACCTTGTATTTTCAAAAAGTGGAAACAACTATGAAATTATTTCTTTAAAATCTGAAGACGCATTAGAACTGGGGTCATTAACTAGAACAGAAAGATTTTTATTAGTGTGAAACGCCCGCAGGAAATTTAATTCGCCATCGGAAGATAATGTTTGAACTAATTCGGCTGCAGGGAAAAGGGAAATGTGATTTTTTTAACAACGATGTCGGGCAATAGAGGGTTTGTATGCTTTTTTTCGTGACATATGTTTTATGCATTTTGTGGTGCCCGGGTGCCCCTCTCCTTGATTCGATAATCACGTGCTTATTTTGCTTATTTATCCAGCTCTGGTATAGTTAAGTATTTTGTCACTGAACAAAATTACTCTTTCTGTACCATTAATTACTGTCGTTGTGTAATACATTATTACTGTGTAATACATTATTTTATATTTATTTATTGTTTTATGTAAAAAAAGAATATGAATTTTATGTGTTTCTATTTATGATGGTGGTATTCAAACTTTATAGCAGTGCGACTCCATAAAATTTCAAATGACCTCCAAAAAACAATTTCGCGACCCCAATCAGAGAGTTGACCTTTAGTTATATGCCATAAATTCAGATTCTTGAGAGTTTTTATCCGCTTTGCGACCCCACTGTAAATTTTCGCAACCCGACACGGATCGCGATCCATAGTTTGAATACCATTGATTTATAATATAATATGTTTAATCCATATTAATTATATTTAAATTATTGTATAATATTTCTATTATTTTACTCTATTAATATGTTTAATATTTCATATTCAATTTTATATGTTAAAATGAACTATATTTTTTTAAAGATTTCACTAGCTGCCTTTCTGTTTTAGTGAACTGCTCAATTTTCTCTCGCAAGAAAAAGCATTTTCGTGATAAATACCTGGCCAAACATAATGCGGTCTTTGACCAGCTAGATGTTGTTACATATGAAGAAGTTGTTAAACTTCCAGCATTTAGAAGAAAGACTCTGGTTTTGCTTGGTAAAATTTTCTTTTATAGTCTATTTTAATTTAGGCTAGAATTCACACATTATAGGTTGTAGAATTATGTTTATCAGTATTAATAAATAAATAACAATTTTTTAGCCATTATATAGTAACAGTCAGTAGTGCAAACTACGTAATAGTTTTATCTAAAATTATTGTGTGACAAATTTTATTTAAAAATTATATGAGACTGGAATTTATGCCTCTTGAATCTTTAGCTGAATTACCTGATAGATGGAAAGCCAGGTTTTAAGGTGCAGGTTAAATGGGCCTACATTAGGTATTATTAGTCATAATACTCAAAATATCTCACAATTAATTTAATTAAAATATTGCATTTAAGTATGTAATTTTATAGAATTTATCTTTCAAGTTATCTGCTTATTGTTTAAGTAGCATAATCAATAAGTAGATGTCTTTGGTTTTTTAGTCCATAAGGCATTGTCAGAACAGACAGCCTTTGAAATAACATAATGTAAAGGGCAGTTTTTTATTTTCAGTACCAGAAGTTGCTTTTAGGGGCAAGCAGCTTCCTTATTCAGGACAGAAAAAGAAACCATTACACAAACTTGGTATACAAGTTATCCTATCAGTTGATGAATAGAAGGCATTATATGCAAATTGTCATCTGGCATGTTTTTCAAGTAGTTTGAAATGTTTCTCAGTTTTTAAATCATGCCTCTTGTGTGCTGTGACTAAGTACTAATATATCTTTTTTTACCTCTATCTAAATTATGATATGAAATAAATGAGATACCATCCTGTATCTTAATAAAATTAAAAGAAAGAAAATTATTTGATCACGATTTTTTCAGGTTATTTATTTCAATCATTTGTTCTTTTCCAGATGAAGCATTTTTATTACACTTTTTAGAGTGAATGATCTTTAGTGTTCAATTCAGAATTTCCAATAGGGTTTGCTTTGGTTGATACATACATTATCATTTTTTCCTCTGTTTATGAATATAAATAAGGCAGATTTATTAAAATATCATGTTGTATAATTTATATCACTATCATGCCTTTAGTATCAGCAGAGATATTTTAAGATTGTATTTGTGATGCTGAAATTTGAGAACCATTTACATGTAGATTTATTAAATAATGCTTCATATAACATCATCACAGGTCATAAAAGAAGGATGGAAGTGCTTTTAGTTAATAATTAGCAATTAAATAAATGTTGTAATGAATTATGCAAAGATTTTAAAACTATAATTTCTTTTCTTTTCAAACCTTTTAGAACTCTCTCTCTCTCTCTTTTTTTTTTTTTTTTTTTTTTTTTCTGTACATTCTGATTTTATTGAAGCATACATTGCTGTGCTCCTGCTTAGATATGTATGAGTATTAAGTAAATAATATAGTGGAATGTACCTAAAAAAAATCATTTACAGCTTTCTGTGGTGTTACTTTAAGGAATACAACAACTGTCTAAGGTTTTAATATGGTATAGGATTATATTCTTGAGAATATTGGATATAGTAGACACCTTATGGAGCTAGTCACTTGAAGAAGTTTCTCAGCATGTATTAAAAGTATCAATTTTAAAATGCAGCGAGACATGTGCAAAATTTAGCCTTATATTGGCACTATTTTTATTTAAATCAAAATTTGTTGTACATCAAACATCAGATCATTAATTTTTTTTAACTTTCCTAAATACTTTGTAGCATTTCTTTTCTGCAATATTTAAAAAAAAAAAAAAAAAAAAAAGTAGTTCATCTATTTTAATATTTTAAATGAATGCTAACGAATATTTGTTCTCCATGAAGAAGTAAGAACTCTGTTACATTCTTTTCAAATTCTTGAAGTTATTTCATAAAACTGATTTCATTATAAAATAGAATTTACCTGATTTTTCATATTAGCAGTTCTTTTTTGCTGTATTTTTATGACACTGAAATTTTACAAGTATCCATCTTAATATTTTTCAGCAATCAAATTTTTTACAGTACATCAGAACATTATTTCATATATCTGAATAATACTGTAGAATAGCTGTGATTTAATGTAAATAATTTCATGAACTCTACATGAATATCAAATATGCACATGCATATTTTATTTAAATATGCTTTCATATATTCCTAGTGCTTATGAAGTTAATTAGAACCAGTATAGCAACTTTAGTAGCTCTTTTAATTTACGATTTTGATTTTGTGTTTGTAAAATGAAAAATAGTATAACCTCACTCTTAATTTATTTAGGCGCACATGGTGTAGGCAGACGCCACATAAAAAATACTTTAATTAGTCATCATCCTGACAAGTATGCTTATCCTATACCTCGTAAGTATATTCTGAACCATACTTTTTATAAAAATTTGTTGACACGGTCTATTAGCATGACATTTTATGTGTGAGATTTTAATTTTATTTATTTATTTATTGACAGTTATCATATTGGTGGCATCTATTATTTTTCCTTGCAGTGTTTTATTTCAACAAATAAAAATTACTTTTGTAGCATTTTATTTTTAATAATTGATTCTTTTTAAATAATTGGAATTTTACCTTCCAGCATTATAACTGTAAATTAGTGCATTTGAACTTTAATTAATAATAACATTGACATTGATTAGTTATTGAAACATATTTTTATTTCATGGAACATATTTTATTTGCATTTAGAAAGTGAGAGTATTAGATAGTGCAGTTTTTAATGGAATGTTTCATGTTTCTTTAATGTCATTTACCTTGTCATGGATTTTATTCTGCTGGCCATCATTTCTCTTTCAAGTATCGCACTTCCATCAAAAGGCAGTTTGTGCATTATATTCCTTTTAATATTTCTTGCAGTTTAATTCTCTTAAAATATATTTGCTTTAATATTTTCTCTTTAATACATTTGCATTTTCACATTTATAATAGATTTTTAGTGCATGTATTTCAAGCATTTTTTGCAGAATCTTTTAAGAATTTTTCACTGATTGGCAACTTATTTTTATTTCTCTGCCTTGATTCCGTGATATCATCTGTCTTTGTCGTTTTGCAGAATATCATGTGTTTTTATATTTATATTCTAATATATAACATTCCGCATCAAACAGGTTTATTTGTTTTAAATTTTGTATTTATTTATGCCTCATTTTTTTAATCACTAGATTTTTTAATCACTATTGGATTTTTATAGATGTAAGGGGGTATAACAAAGATTTCATAATTTTTTAACATTGTATTAAATCCTGTCATGAATTTTATCTAATCATGCAGCTTCTTTAATCTGAGTAGTCATTTTTCATTCTTAATTTTCTTAACCATTCCTTTCAATTTTCATCCCCGTAATGTCTTCTTTTATTAACATCTCTTTGTTCCAAATAAATGTTACAATATGTAAGTTATTAATTGAAATAGAAATGAGGAAAAAGTAGTGTAGTAACCCTCCTGACTTTATGTAAATCCCCAGTTATGTTAAGGGTGTAACATTCAAACTAAAACATACCTCTTAAAAATAAGGATTCCATAATTCAAGATGCAGTTACAATTTTCATAACCTGTAGCATATGTTTTCCCAAGCAATCAAGATCATTGGTAAGCGCATTAATCTAAATGATTTCTAGACAAACTATATTATCACTGTCAGATACATCAGGGTAGCATGGAATGAAGTCAATTAGATAATAAATTACAGTATGTGGAAGAAACTTTGTTCAGAAACGTTTGTTTAAAGAAGAATTGTTTAAAGAAGAATAGACAATATTTGATATAGTTATTGAATTGATACAAAAATAACAGCAAGTGACGAGGATGTGCTATAGCTGGCAAAGCAATAAGAGCAGCAGAAAAAAAATGATGCCAGCAGAAAAAAAAATATAAATATAAGAGATATAAATATAAGTAGATAATGTTGACATTATTGAGCTTATTTTTTGAGTCGTTATTTACTAATGATGCCTTTATTCAATTGGACATGTTCTGTAGTTCTGATGAAAATGCTAGGCTGATTGAACCATTAACTCCAGACATTAAGAAATTTATAATCGTGAGACTAACTAAAAGTTTTCACGTTATTGACTAACATTAGCAAAATCAGAACTGATTGGTGATCTGAATGTGGATCTGAATACTGAGCAGTTAAAGGATATAAACAGCTGTATCCATTCAGATATATCTACTTACAAAGCCATTTATAATCTCAAAAAGAATATTATCACACAATCTGTTACTGACATGACATTCACAACAATATCAAAATAACTCAGGTGACTGTGATTACCCTCAGTCCTCACCATAAGAGAGGGATAAAAGTTGCCAAAGAACAGCATTTCTCTTTACACTTATCTCAACAGCCAACTATCTCACTACAGAGCCTAATTAGCTATTACAGTCAAAAGTCGTTAATCCGGACTCATCGGGACTTCGGCGATTCTGGATTATCGATTTTTCCGGATTATAGATCATCAGTTTAAATCTCGTAAGATGGCATGCAGAAATTCTAAAATTAAAAATATGAAACCGTAATTTATAAAATAAAGAACAATTATGATTTAAAGGGTATCAAAATTTACAAAAAAAAAAAAAAAAAAAGCTTAATATTTATTTGTTTACTTTATTAAACATTTCTTTCAATGTAAGTTGTTTAAGTTGCTTCGTTTTATGTGATAATACTTTCTCTTTAATTCTATAAACAGACATAATTTCTTGTTCATTTACAAAGTTCCGTTGTTCAAGTCCCGTAATTGCTGTGCCGAGAATACCGACTAACTTGTCAATCGAAATTTTTTCGTTTTCACTAACCTCTCTGTCACCTTCTTCATGTCTTTATCCATTTTTTGCAGCAATTCCACTTTTTGTTTGATGGACATCGAAGCATACTTTCGTTTTGTAGAGCCTTTGGGAGCTCCAGCTTCGGAAATTCTACTTGACATAATCGAAAGTTCAAGTTTACTTTTATAAAATTGCTCTTACAGTCTGCAAAAAACATTAAGCCGGACCCAACTCGAAGATTAAGGAACAACGCAATCATCAACATTAACTGAAATAGATAATTAGATCATTTTAGCTTATACTGTCCGTTATACATAAAACGCACACACGAAAACGTATGCTGCGCTTGCGCACACGCATTTGCGCAATCGTAAAGGTCTTACGCGCACGCGTAAACGCTTATGCGCATGTGTCAACGCAGCGCATGCGCAGAAAGTTTTTAGCTTTGAGGTCCGGATTATGGGTGTCCGAATTAACGACTTTTGACTGTATGAGATAATTATTTATTTAAAAAGTGTTATTTCAATTTACTTTTATGTATTATTCATAGTTTTATATTTTGTATCTGAATGAGCACTGCTGTGTGATGTTTTATTCATAAACAAATACTAAGTAAACAAGACATACATACAGGGTGATCCAAAAGTTGCATTGCATATCAAACTTTAAAAAATTGTGGAAATTTCAAAATGGATATTAACTGCAAACTGTTTTGATGGATGACACCCCTCTACTGTTGCATGTAATATATAACTTGAAATCTCAGTTTTAGTTTATGCTGTTAGCTTTAAAAATGGCTTGTTTGATGCCAGCAGAAAAAAAATATAAAATTTAGCATAAATACTTCTGTGAAAAATTAAGACAAAGTGCAACTGTCAAACTTCTGAAAACTAATGGATAGATTTTAATGAAATTTGGTATGAATGTACATTTACAACAGGGAAAGACATGTACCATTCAAAAGTAATTTTATGTGTGCATGATTATCACTAAAGCTCATTGTGCAGTGACGTCCAAAATTCCATGTGCTGTGAAATCGAACTAAAAATTAATCTAATATGAGGTATGGTCCCTTCTCACTGTACACAGGTCATGCATCATGATGGTATACTGTACAGGAGGCAGTTGAGTATTACCTGTGGCAGACTATAAAACTTTAAATGCATTAAAGTAGTTTTGATTGCAAACTGAGAATACAAGCATAAGTTAAGAGACGGGCATCATACCGGCCACATAAACAGGTGATTCCCATCTAGCATTTACCTTAGAAAAGTTGTAATAAGAGAGGTCTATTCCTCATTCTTGAATTTCTCTTCAACCCCCCCCCCTCCCCAACATACACGGAATTTTTGCTCATAGCTGCAGTTCAGACTTTCACTTTTGATATATTAATTCCATTGTGATTTGAATTTATAATATGTATATATATATCTATTTTTTTTAATTATCAGTGGTGCATTATAGACATGTTCAACGTTACATTATATGCGTTAGTATGTATCATCCCCTTACACATTATTACACGATATCTAAAAATAATGCTTTTGTTGTTTGCTTAAATTTCATTGTAAATATATACATCTAAAATCACCTTTTTTTGCCACATTTAGATCGTGACATTTTTACTCCAGCTTTATTTTGGTTTTGCATTTATAGTTAAAAAGTTTTTTTAATCTGCTGAAACAATGACATGTAATGAATGATATTTTCCTTTTGGTAACAATGTATATTTTTTATTTATCAATGGAGCATTACAAACATGCTAGGGTTCTATTTAATTTAATTTATTATTATTTATTTTTAACATTAATTTTAAGTAGTGGTTTAAAAAAAAGTGTATTTAATGAAAACCTACAAAAGGAATACTTTTTTTTTTTTTTTTTTTTTTTTTTTTTTTTTTAGAAAAATGTAAGCTATTTGGATGTATATAGTGTTCTTCAAAATCTTCAGAAAGTCATGGTGAACATGCAGATATTAAACGTCATATAAATAAAATATGTCAATGAAATGTCAAACTCTGCTGCATCTAGCTCGCCATTAAAGAATTTCTTCAAATAGTAGATAAGGAATGATAAGAAAGAAGATTAGCTGCAGTGCCATACCATACTACTATTTGTCACAACCATAGCTTTAGCTCTATAGTCTAAGCTGCTTCAAGTTGTATTTGAGCCTAAATTTACATATGTGCTAACCAAGGGAGAAGCAATAATACTAGCTGTTTTGATGCCTTACGCTTTAAGAGCTTTGATGCCTTACGCTTTAAGAGCTTAAATTTGATTTGGAAAAATTTTCAATCTTAACTGATACATCCAGTCATAAGGAAATAGAGCTTTTCCAGTACTTGTTAAAACCTGGAGTTATTGAGTTAGAGTAAAACTTTTAGAATTTAAATCCTTACCTAGTGAAACATCTGATAATGTCATCAACTGTTTAACTACCTGTCCTGAAGAAAATAATTTAAAAGCAATAGTTATTTGTCTTTGTGTGGATTATATGAATTCTAGCTTTGGTGGAGCTGATAGATGTGGAGAAAACAATGTTTTTTCTAAACTGAAATGAAACTTTAACCATGGTTTAATTGGAGTTGGATGTGCAGCACATATCATCCATAACACTATAAAGAACATCAGCTGATGTTTTTTCAGTTGATATAGAAATGATTATTTTTAAAATATGCTTTAAATCTTATACTGTTAGAGTAGAAAGATCGAAAAATTTCTGAAATTCATAGAAACTGATTTTTCGATGATACTAGGGAATTCACAAACAAAATGGTTAGCATTACTTTCCACCATTGAAAGGGTACTCCAAATGTTTTTACTAGTGAAGGCTTATTTTTCAGTCTCAAGAAAGGTGTCCCATGCTTATTTTAAAATTCTTTGAAAATCCAGTGGCAGCACCTTGGCTACATCTTATTAATACTCAGGCTTCAATATTTTCGAACATTATTACAACAACTGAAAATCAAACCGTGTCTGTATTTGATATAATTGCTTCAACGGATGCTCTAAAAGCTTGAATATTGATCAAAGAGGATAACTTTATTCCAATCAGTGTTAAATAAAAACTCTAGAAAAACTTGTAGAGGATGGAGACCTGTCACAATACGAAGTTATTGAATTTTGAAAAGCTATTGTTTCATTTTATCAGACTGCTCTTACTTATTTGGGATATGGATAAAAAAAGTACATTAAGAGATGGAAATGTACAGCTGGTTCGTATTAAATGAAATACCTTCATGTAGTCAAATTGAAACAGCCTTTTTGTTAATTAATAAAATGATACCAAACCATAAATTATTGGAAATTGATATATATATGAGGAATATGTTTACCTTAAACAATGTACGGATCCCGTGTCCTAAGACTGTTTCCACAAATTGCAGACAACACTTGGCTCTACGTTAAGCTTCGTAACCATCTGTGCTCATGATTGTCCTGCCTCCAGTTTACTGACAATTCTCATTTCTTCATTCATAAGTTTATGGCTGTTCATTTTACATGATACAGTCAAAAGTCGTTAATTCAGACACCCATAATCCGGAATGATCTATAATCCGGACCTCAAAGCTACAAACTTTCTGCGCACGCGTCGCGTTGATGCATGCGCATAGGCGTTTACGTGCGTGCGTAAGACCTTTACGGCTGCGAATATGCTTGTGTGCATGCTCATAAAACGTTTACGCATGCGCGTTTAATGTATAATGGACGGTGTAAGCTAAGCTAAAATGATCTAATCAGTTAATGTTGCAGATTGCGTTGTTCCTTAATCTTCGAATTGCATCCGGCTTATTATTTTTTGCAGACTGTTAGAGCAATTTTATAAAAGTAAGCTTAAACTTTCGATTATATCAAATAGAATTTCCTATATATATTTGTTAATATGTAAAGGATCTAAAGCGAAAGTATGTTTCAAAATCCGAAATCTGTTTATCAATTTCACGCTGCTCGGTGGGGGGAATGCCACAGCGCGCAATGAATTGGAAGTTGATCTGTCAGCACTATCCTTATCTTCAGGGCACATGTTTTTATTTTATTTGGCTTATAATTCCTTACCAAATGTAGTATTTCATCTCGATGTGCTCCGTCTTTGATATGATTTAAAACAAGTTCCTCCTCCTCATCATTATAATTCGCTTCCGATAGTGAAGAAAGTGACAGAGGTTATTGAAAACGAAAAAATTTCGATTGACAAATTAGTCGGTTTTCTCGACACAGCAATTATAGGACTTGAACAGCGTTTGTAACTAAACAAGAAATTATGTCTGTTTAATAGAATTAAAGTATTATCACATGAAACGAAGCAACTTAAACAACTTACATTGAAAGAAATGTTTAATAAAGTAAACAAATAAATATTAAGCTTTTTCTTTTTGTAAATTTTGATACCCTTTAGATCATAATTGTTCTTTATTTCATAAATTACGGTTTCATATTTTTAATTTTGTAATTTCTGCATGCCATCTTACCAGATTTAAACTGATGATCTATAATCCGGAAAAATCGATAATCCGGAATCGCCGAAGTCCCGACGAGTCCGGATTAACGACTTTTGACTGTACTTTATAAAATTTACCCAATTGTTGCAAGAAAACTGTAAAGATCATGAAGGCGTATGAACTCATAAAGTGCTGTAAACCACTTATGTGCTTCTATTCCCTTCACAGTCACTGCTCCACAAACATGCATGTCTATACTTACGTATGTGATTCTGAATAGCTTCATAATTCTTTGGTGCCATAATTAGTATCTTTGGTTCACACAACTTGAAAGCTCCTGCAACCTCCCAGTTTTTATATTTCAAGGCTGGTAGCTGTTCTTCAGTCTACACTAAAGTGGCAAAAAATTAGTACACTTCTTAAATACTTAATAAGTTCTTCATGGTAGCAGAGAACTTCAGAAACATGGTCTATGTAAATACCCATGAGTATTCTGAAAGTAGTGAACATCATACTTCCTTTTAAAATTAGGCAGAAAAATCAACTTCTGATTGGGGGAGATTTTGAATAAATTCTATTTTATTGATTTTGAAGGCGATAAGAAACAGGTCCCTCTTCTTCAAGAGCAAAAAAAAAAAAAATTTTCTTTTGGTTAAATTTTCCTGTACAAAGCAGCAGGGTTTTTTTTTTTTCCATGTTGAAAAAGACAATGTTTCGTAATTTTTCAGCTTTAAAATGTATACGAATTATGCATATATAATGTAACTAAATTTTAGCTGGATTATAACAGTTAAAAAATGTCGTGAACATTATTAATTATGATGCAAATATCCTTGTAGCTGACCTTCTGAACCCTAGTTGCTCACATATCACATAATTCAAGTCTCTCCCTCCCTTTCAAAGCATACTGGTGATTGATTGGATAAGGACTATTGAATATTGATTGTGGGCAGTAGCGTAGCTAGGGTTTTCAGCGCCCGGGGCCGATGAAGATTTTGCACCCCTTTCTCTGTGCCAAGAACGGAAAGCATGTTGTTCTAAAATTTTGTAACATTAATTTGAATGCTGTGCCGCTGTCCCCCCTTGCCCCACCCTAGCTATGCCACTGATTGTGGGATTATCAGTGTTTCTCTATGCATTATGGCACTATTCATCATTACTTCTTTATGGATGAGAAAGCAATTTTGCTTATGTAATTATTGAGATGATCAGCAGATGTCCACCATGAGTTAAAATGTTTTCATGAAGGTGATTCCTCGTAAACAAAATCCCTGTTGTACTCTGCTATAATCAATAAACCAACAAACTCCAATATGAATTATAAATTAGATGTCTATTCAATAAATTCGTATAACTATAAATTCATGCTAACTGCATATGTTACAGTTAGCAGTAATAATTGCTATATTTAAATGTTATTAACCACTGAGTTTTATGTAATTTACTGTCTTTTTATCATACACATCTAAGTATAAACAATTAAGTGGCAATAACAAGAATTACAATATTTGTATAACTAAAAAATAACTGAATATGAGTCACTGGCTTTAAATTAGAACAAATATTTTATATGCATTTTCCATGATAGACTCTTGCTCTAGTTGACTTGAACTCAGCTGGAGTTTCTGCATGTGAAATTAGGCAGAACTGGTTCACAGAATCATGTTATATTAGCATAAGTAACATTCTTGCTTCCTCATATTTTGAAAAAGGATTATTAAAATTTATTAAAAGAGAATGTGCAAATGAATTATCATTACATGGTCCACTGTAAGATAAAACATTTAATTTTCTCAATGTAGATGTAGTGTATTCAGGCAACAGAGTTTAGAAATGGCAAAATTTTTATTTATATAATTTGCAATTACATATGACTTTTTTTATTTTGTTTACCTAGATACTACTAGGCCCATGAGGAAAGGTGAAGAAAATGGGAAGAATTATTATTTTGTCTCACATGATGAAATGATGGCTGATATTGCTGCTAATGAGTATTTAGAGTATGGAACTCATGAAGAAGCTATGTATGGTACTAAATTAGAAACTATTCGTAGGTTGCATGCTGATGGGAAAATGGCAATATTGGATGTCGAGCCTCAAGTAATTATTTTGTTTATAAAATAAAGTGAATTAATAGGTTTCAAACTGCTATAGTTAACAAAAAGTACCTTTAATATTTTTAAAAAGTGTCACCAGGTAGCAACATAGTCATAGTGAATAAGTGAACGATATCACTGATCATTGAGAGGTTGTCAGGTCAATGTAAAAATGGCAACTGTACTGGAAGAATATGCATTACTAGACCAGTCAGCTGTAATAACTTCAGCCTGCAGTTCAGCAAAACATATTGGGTCTAATTCCAAATAGCCAAACCTCTTACAGAATGGATTACCAACAGATTACTGAATTGATTAAGCAATCTTGTGGACTTTGGGGCAATGTCTTCAACAGAACTATCTATAACTTCAACCCAGAAAAATCAAAATTGTTGCTAAAAAATAATGCCATTTTATTCAGGTTTCGATAGAAATGGCAATGCTCAGCTACTGAAGTAGCTCTAAACTTGTTACATTTCAAATGGTTCATTGGATATTACAGTAATGAAATGTTTTAAGTCAAAATAATGCTGCTAAAAGTTGAGTATAAAGTAAATACTTTACACTCAAACTATAAGTGTTGTAAACTATACACTAAAAGTGTTATAAACTATACACTAAAAGTGTTGTAAAGTAAATACTGCCAAAAGTTGAGAATCACAATTCCTATTGGGTTAGAAATTTAAAGTTCAGTACTATTACCCATTGAGTTAATTACTTCACCTTAGCCCAAACTAGGTGTATTAATAAAAACTGGTAGGAAAAGACTGGTTTCTAGCTGAATAAGTTATCTTTTGCAGTATTACTTCTTTAGCCATTAGTAACTTAATATTTATTGATTACACAATAAATATTTTTAATACTCATAATTGCTATATATTAAAAAAATTTGTATTATTCTTTACATCTATTTTCAGAATTTTATATATTTAATAATATCAGAATTATATATGTAAAGGTATTCTTTGATTCATTATACTTACTTGGTTTTAATGATGTGCAAGTAGGTGCTTATAAATAAAAATACTTTTAAAAAAAACTCTGAAAAATGTTAACTACCTTTAATAATTAAATTTATTATCTGAGTATGTTTTTAGGTCATATAAAGAAAATGAATGATATGATATTTATTATATAAGTTAGCAAATATTTTTCTTACTATAGAATACTTTGAAATTTTTTCTAGGCTTTGAAAATACTTCGGACGGCAGAATATACACCCTATACTGTCTTTATAGCTGCTCCATCATTAGGAAATATGCAAGATGTAAGTAGCATGTTAATACAAGTTTTCATTCGTCTGTTACTCATTATATTGCATTTTAATGATTTTTTATTAATCTTGCAGATTGATGGCAGTTTGGAAAGACTGTACAAAGAAAGTGAACTCCTACGCCAAGCTTATGGCCATTTCTTTGATTTGACTATAGTGAATAATGATATTGAAGAAACCATTAGAACTCTGGAAAAGACTCTAGAAAAAGTGCATAACACGACACAGTGGGTTCCTGTTACATGGGTTTATTAAATACATATATATTAATAATCCAGCATTAGAAAGTACACTTTACAAGCTGCTGCCAAACACATGGCTCATTCTCCGGCCAATCTTTCATGGGGTCGTGAGAGCAAATCACGCCAATTTTTGCTGAACATTTTTTAATTGTAAAATCATAGAGCTCTATGCTAAGGGATAATCATTATAAATCATTATTTGGTCGAGCTTACAATTATGAAAATGTCATAAAGTGCAGTTCATTTGCATACCCAATGATGGAGAAGACTCCTGTGTTATGTGTTCAGTGTGTTTCGTCTTATTTCTTTTAATACTATATTCATATGCAGTTTGTGTTATATGTTCAAAATATAAGGTGAATGTTATGTATTTTGTTATTAATTCCTACTGTTATTGTCTACCTAATTGTATATTACATTAGATGATGATATTGAAGTTAAGGAGCTATTTTTAAATCTTCAAAGAACCTGTTTGAAAATAAAATAAAAATACCCACTAAAGGCAAAAGTTTTCATAAGCAAATTATAAAGAAAGGCTGTTGTTTCTTTTTCTGAATAACTCTTTGTCATGTACTTTTTCATTTGATAAGTTTTATTACATGTAGTGGCTTATAGAAAAATTCAAATATTAGTTTGTTCTGCTTTTTATCTGATAAAAGGGACTTTTTTTAATAATATTCTTCAAGTTTTGTTTTTTAATTTATAGTGAGAAGTCTGATTTTCTGCATAAAATTCCTGAAAAATTGTTTGTTGCTCTGTAATTTTTCACAAATTTCTTATATGATTCTTTAGTATCAAAAAATCATTTGCTTTTCCAATTAATTAAGCATTTATAAGCTTTTCTCCTTGCTTTTCTTTTATAGGCAATTTCAGATATGTCACAAATTTGTATCACATAAATCTAGCAACTATATAAATTACATTTAAAAGGAAAGTATGAGGAACTGTATTATATTGCATTATTTTCAAGTCTGAATTGAAAAGCTTATATTATTTTATAATTTTTAGATTTTTCAGTTTCTTATTCATATATTAAAGAATTGTATTTCTGTATTGGCTACTAGCTTTCTTGCTGTGAATGATCAACTCTAATTCTTTCAGTTAATCAATTTGGAAAGCTTTGTGTATTTATAAAAATTTCTTTTATATTAAGGTGTATATTTTTAAAATGTAAAGAAATAGTTTCATTTTTATTTAATCACAGGATACCAAGCATTCCATGAAAAGATGCTACAAAGCTAAATTAAATTATGCATTCCTTAATTAATTACTTTAATATTTTTATATTGCTGCATTTTCTGCATTTAGTACTGTTTGTTATGTTATGGCATTTGAATAATACATTAAATGTAGCCATAACTTAGAAAGGCAACATTTATTTTTTATTATTGATAGCTTGTTTATGAAACAAGTATAGAGTCTGGCATTTATATTTAGCCTTGTAAATTTGTTTATGGAAATAATTATTGGTTTGCAGTACCATGGGTATACATTCCGCTTTTATGTAGTTTTTGAAAAGATTTGAGTATATATAATGTTGACTTTGAATCTTGAATTTATTTTATGCTTATATGTCTATTTTTGTTTGAAATGTGAACGTTTGTTTGAATTTTATCTATAGAAAATTATGTTTTACGTATGGGTTTGAATTAGTATGCTTTGTAATTTATGTCTCCAGTAAAGATAACTGTTCCTGAGTTGTAGTTTTAAATAGCAGATATTAAATTTCTGCTAAAAATTGAAATGTGTCCTCTGTATGAATTAAATTTTCTGAACCTTTTTTAGCATTCACTGTAGTCTGAAATGTAAAATATGACTTGAATGAAATTATATTAATGGCATAAATTTAGATTATTCTTCATCTGTATGTTTTCAATACATATATGCATTAATGATCTAGTAAAACTAGAAAAACAAGTGTTCAACATGTTTTAATATATGCTTGAACCACATTTGAATAAATTTTTTAATAAAATATGTTATTTTTGCACCTGAAATAGTGTTCTTAAAATATGTATCCTGAAACTTAATTTAAAATTTAGCATATTCTTAAACAAGGAAAAGTAGTGTTTTTTTTTTGGGCGGGGGTGTCTTGTTATGTCATATTTAAAAGATAATGCCATTCCTTCTATTTTTAATCCTTCCTCTATTACTAGTATATAAAAGTAATGTAACTGATGTATAAATAATTTTATATATCAGTAACATTACTAATATATAAAAATATAATTATCCCTACTTAATTAATTTTACACTTTTAGTTTGACATTGTAAAAAATATCTTAATACCTGAATTACATAAAGAAAAAAGAAAGACAATTTTGCAACTTTTCCTTCTATGATTACAGAAAATCCTCAAAGGCAACATCTGCAAATTAAATTTAGGTATTTTATTATTAATTGCATAGTATGAAACAAATTATGTAAGTCATTATATATTGAGAATTTTAATTTTCAGTTTTTAATATTAGATTTTTGAAAATAATTCTTACATAACGGGTTTCTAATTAAATTATTTTAAATGAGATCTAGTGCATTCATTAGGAAATTCCTCAAGTATAATATGTTGGAAAATAAAGTATATTTAACTGCTCTTTTAATTGCATAAAGCAGTACTTTTCTGTGTGTGTTACTCTAATTCTGTCTAATACAAAAAATCTAATTCTTAATTGAATAGACATTTGTTCTTAAATTGAATAGAAATGAGAATGAATAAATTCCCTTAATCTATAAATGGGAATAAATACTTCTAAATATATTCATGTATTCATTTTCTAGAGAACTGTTTTCCTAATTTATTTGTGGTAAGTATGCTTTAGTTTTCAGTATCAAGCCAATCATGTATTGGTTTTTTTTATCTGCTATACCTGGTCCATTATAATTGCGTGTATAGTCCTTATATGGCAGTACCAAAAGAAAAAGTTAACTACATACAAGAAACGTGCTTTTTTTATGACTGTGAACTTGAGCATTTGATGCATTTCTGCTTCCCAAATAAGTTTTATTTTCCTTTAAATAGGATAGTCAGAATTCTTTCACAAATGCAGATATTAGTCTTTTAATCTATAATTGTTATCTGTTGTCATCAAGTGAAAGAAATTACAAAGCATTTTGCTCATTCTGATTTTATGTACATTTATTCAGCTTTCCCATAAAAAGTGTTAATTAAGAGATTATGACCAATAAATTTGAAATAATTATAAACTGTTGCTTTTAAAATTTTCTTTTTGTGTGTTTTTTTGTTATGTCCTATATAAAGGAAAAATGCCATAAAATAGAAAAATATTCTTGTCAATTATATTGCATAATCTTGAAAGACTGATATGCAAGCTTAAGTATCTTTGCAGTTTGTCTGTTTAAAAATTTTTTAGCCATAGGATGCATTTATTTTAGCTTAAAAATAATTAGAAATTATTTTCTTTATTATTCATTTTTCTGCAATGCTTTTTCTCATTTAGGTATAAAAGTTGATATATTTTTTCTATATAAAGTTTTGTAATCTTTCTTCATATATAGCAGGATTGTTATTTGAAATATAAAAAATGAATTTTAATTTATATAAATTTTATATTATGTGTATATTCTGGTAGATTCAAAAATTAGAAAGTTATTTCTGTAATTTAACTATTTTTAATAAAGTGTACAAATGTTTTATGAATAGTTTCTTTCATAATTTTTAAATGGTTTTAATAAAAGTTATTGTGTAATTTCATGTAAGATATTATATCATATATTCTTATTAACACTTACTATATGAAGAAAAACTTCGTCTGTCAGGATATCCAGAAAGCTTAATAATTAGAAAAATAATATTATTATTAATATACAGTTACTTAAAGTTATAATCTAATACTGACAAATATATCCATTTTTCTGAAACATTTAATATTCTATGATGGTTTCTATGTACAATAATGTGAGAATTTGGTAGGTCAATCCTATTTCCTAAAAAAAAAAAAAAAAAAAAAAAAAAAAAAATTTGACACTGTAAATCCATACTTTTCAAATATTTTATTTACATGTAAGAATTTTGAAAGGCTTAATATTTTACCAATTTAATTGGCTTCTGCATTCCATTTCCATTCATTTTCCACTGTTGTGTATACATTCGAAATGTATGCTCTTCTATAAATTAGTGATTATAAAAATCGTAAGAATTTCATACTGTACTATCATTTCTTCAGTATTTGCACTATCATTTTATTTAGCAGTTGTAAATGAAGAAACAAAATTTAATTTTGAAAATATACTCTGATTTTGAGGAAAAGGAAGGTTCTGAGGATTCGTTATCAAACTCTATTTTAAATGCGTATGTATATATTGTAACAGCTTCTTTTTTAAATGTAAATGAAAGAATAATGAAGACAGGAAAATTATGATCATACATAAGCCTATAAATGTAAGTAACGCTATTTATGTAGTTATTTTTTAGTATAATTGCAGTATAAAAACTTTATTACAATCAAGATAGTAGTCATAATATGAAGCACATAAGGTTAAATAATTACACAGCATGTGGAACTCGTTTATTTTTGTACATGAATATTCATATTCAGGGTATAATATTCATTTTAGAAGATTTTACCCATTATATATATAAAAAATGGAACAAATAATATTTATTTCTCTTTTCACATTAGTTATTAATAGTCATCAAAATAAGTACATCAATATAAAAATATTTTATTTAAATAAGCGTGAAGAAGTTTGTTAAAAATTAGAATTTTACGAAAAATTGTTATACACTTACCAGTTTAAATTAGAATCGTTCTTAGTATGTAATCCTGTATATTAAAATAAGTGCATTTTTTAACTTTGGTTTCAGGTCTCTTGCAAAATTTAGCCAGAATTCTGATTCTTCAATTATATATTTGTCATGTAGTTTCGAAATACTTGGTACCCAAACATCATGTATGCAATAAATGTATTAGTGTTTTATTTAGCTTCAATTATCACTATTTATATAATTATCATATAATTACCATTGTGCATGTAATATAAATATATGTGTTGCGAATTAATTTTAGAATTTCTCTTTCTATTTAGAAAAGCATGAAAAAGATTTTCCAATATTGCATATATAATTGCAAAATATTTTATAAAATGTACTCAAGTTTATTTAATTTTTGATACATTATGTCTCTAAATCAACTAGATTAAATAAAATAAAGTTTAATAAGTAATTTAAAATAATTATTACTAAATGCTGAATAATATTAATTATAAATAAAATCTGATAAGCGTAATGTAATATTAAAATTTGTTAATTAATTTATTAGCAATGTAATTTTCTATGATATGAACTAAAGCTAACTAAAAGGAGTCCTAAAGTTCACAAAAAAAAAAAAAAAAAAAAAATGCACACTTCATAGTTTAAAAGCAAAGAAATAAAAGGGGGAAAAAGAATTCTTAGCAGAAAGTTTCACACTATTTCTTAGTCAATCGAAAATAGGTTTTTGTTATGATTTTATATTTTAAATTTATGTAGATATTCTTTTCTAGAAGCGTTTTCATATATCTTAGTATGGGGATTTTTGCATGCTCATAATTTTAATTTCGTGTAAAAATTAGCAAGAAGAAATTGCAAAATTTTATTAATATCATGGAATTACTTTAGAGGGTGCTCTTTTAAAATCCTTAGCTTATTTTTTATAGTCATAATAAATTAATTTTAGATTTAAATTTTTCATAGTATCTTGAGAAGATGTGAAAAACATTTACTACAATAAATTTCCATATAAAAACTTCATGTTGTTAATTGAGATTTTTATCAAGTATTTCATAAATTGTTAAGCTTTCATTTTAATTAACATAATTATATTTTGGTGAAAATAAGTTTCAAAATAACTTCATTTTCAGACATGGACAATTAATGTTATGTAACAAATTTTCAGATTATTCTTGAACTGGATAATTAATTCTTTGAGTTGAAATTATGTTCCAGGGGAAAAGAAAAGGAGAAAAAAACCCTTGCTCCAGTTTTGCAAGGTACTTTTCCTCTATTTAGCTGAGTTTTTCTCTGTACATTTAAATCATTTGCATAAGATATGTTCTTTACATAATAGAACTACTTCTCAGGTTATTTTTTAATGAGGTCTGTATGACATCAAATTAGCTATTGATTTAAATTGTTGTGAATTTTTAATGTAAACTATTCAAATCCATAACTAAAGAAATAGAGAGCTTAATATGTTATGCTTTGACAGTGTTTAAACTCGCAGCATCTAAAAGCAGATTTTTTTCTCTCCCCTCGAATCTGTAAAAAGGTAAAGACAAATATTTAAATTAATGAACACCTAGTTATATAATAGCGGTAGATAAAAATATTACATACCTGAGACTTAAGTAGGTAATTCAGATGTGTATCATGAATACTAAAATGTCTGGCTATTTTTCATTCACAGTAATATGGCTGCAATGGGATGCATTCTATAAACAGAGGGTGGAAAATTAGATATAGATAACACACACAAAGAGCAGATACATCCAGTAAACAAATTAATTATTAATTACATATAAATTTATGAGCAATATATTTTCTAATTTCTGTTCAAAGTATAGAATATAAAAAAGTCTGAATAATTAATCATTTACAGCTTTATTGTTCTATTAGTAATTTAAGTTTTAAATGATAGCTGATAGATTGAAATGTCTATCACAAAAGCAATAAATGAGTAATATTAAATTTTTTGCTATTAATAAGTTCAAGCAAAATAATATCCATTCTCCTAATGACCATTAGCTATATGAAAAATATTAAAATTAATTGCAATCTGTTAATATTCACAAAATTAAATGTGTTAATGTCAATGTGTGTATAAATGTATTTTGTGGATTAAAATGTGTTAGTAACACAAATCAGTGTATAGATAATGACAAACCTTTCAGTAATATTTTTATTTATATTGCATAAAAATGAGTTATGCCATACTTGCACTAAAATATTTATTTTGAAATAGTCTTGAATCGTCTTGAGTTTTGAAATTCATTTGGAGATTACCGGTTGTAGTGAGCTAATTTCCATTTTGAATTAAAAACTTCTTCGCAATATATGTTATAAACTTAAAACTTCAATTTGCATAATTAAAATGTCATTAATAATATAATTATATAAAACAGTTTACAATAAAATTCTGAGTTCAGTGTAATTTCTAATTACTTTTAATTATATTCATATTGTATAACATCTCTCAATTGGCTTTTTGTTCATTTACTGCACCTGTTATTATAAATGAACATTTTGTTCTTCTGTATGTAATTAATATGAGATTCTTCATGTGAGCATTTTTTATTCTATCTGTGTGCTAATTACCTTAAAAATTATACAAAGTAACATCTAATTAAGATATTAATTAAATGCTGCATTAAATAAGATATTAATTAAAATGCTGCATTAAATAAATGCAAGTTAATGAAGTGTAGTTAGAAAAAAATTATTATTGGTAAACAGAATTTAACTGGATCTATAGCTTTTCCAATGCAGCAGGTATAGCCTCCAATATTTAATAATGACATCAGTGTCATTACTTCAGACTGTACGAAAAGTAACATTTTATTTTTTTCAGGTTTTTATTGTATACTATTGTGCTGATACAGTAGAACCCCATTTATTTGGATCAGTTGAGCATTACAGTTTTAAATAAAACTTGTTTTGTCCTAAACCAAGGTCGGGCTTGTTTTCACAATAATAATTGAAAAAAAAAAAAAAACCAGAAAAGGTTCATTTGGTCACACATCATCTTCGGCATTAATATAAATTTGTAATTCATTTAAAATAAAATAATCTTTAACAGCTCCATTTTTAACTTATTATTTTATTTAAGTCGCATAAAATATGTAATATTAACTAAAATATCGCTTCAAAGAACAAATGCTGAAAGTACTAAAACAACAAGAATTAGCTTTAAGTTGCGTTCAAATCGATACTAGTTCTGAAAATTTATGCAAATTACGCTGATTCTTGCTACAGTATTTTACCAAAAAAATCGCATTTTTATGGCATGATCACTATTAGGGAAAACTTGGGTACTCTTTTGCCGTCATTTTGGATACCTTTCCTCACTAAAAGGCAAATTTCATTTGAAATGTACTGCAACGTATTTTAAAAATTAAGTGAAATCTTTTATGTATACGTTTTCGAAGATTGTATTTTTTTTTTTTTTTCAAACATATCTTTTAATGCAGCTCATATTTTAATTGGTGTTGTCCATCAATCACTATTGGAGATATTTAGAAGTCATTTTCAGGAGAATAAATTCAAAACGTAGAAATATATTGGCATGAGTAGGTCGCATTATAAAAGAGGCATCTATTTAATTCTAAGTAAATGAAAGAAAATTGGAAATGATTCAAATTCAGGTTTTCTTAGTTGACTTCTTTGTTTCAATTGAGCGGGATTTGGGTTAAATGAGGTTTTATTGTATATGGTGCATTAAATGAACCTATTTAAATTTTTATTTATTTGCAGTGAAAATGATTTTTAATGCTTTTTGTTATTTTTGGTGTAAAATAATATAAACTATGACAATATATATAAACAAGGCAATGAAAAGCTTGTTCCTATAAGTATTTAATTGGAATCATTCAGTTAATATTATTCAAGTTTGTAAATATGCATTTCAGTCACAATATCAAAACCTGTTATTTGAACAAATACCATAACTGAAATATTTCTGTGATACCAGAAGTCTTAAATAATTATCATCTATATAGATTATTATTGTAACAATTGTCGATTCATAGTTTTTGTCTATCATTTCTATTCATCTATGCATAGTTTAGCCATGTCTTAGGTATTTCAAATCTAAATGCTTTTTTTTTTTTTTTTTTTTTGTTAATTTTCATGAGTAAATAACAAGAAATAATTTAATTTTACCTATAGTTAAGGCTCTTCTCTAAACATCAATTACCTGTTATGCCTATCCTGTTTATTTGTTGAATTTACATTATTTTTTGCTTGTATGTCCCTCCCCCCCCCCCAGTTTTCTCTTCTCAGGACTATGCTTATTTAATTATTAACCTAACTAGTGCTCTCGGTTTATAAATATCGATTTTTTAATGCATTTGACACGTTATGGAAAGTTTTCAACAGAAATTATGTATATTTTAATATGCATTTCATTGAACTTAGATTGAAACACCTAAGACAAATTTTACATGGCAGAGAATATATTTTCATTGTGGTCTTTTGATTGAAAAGTAAATAATGTTACGTGTGTTCAAACGATAACTTCTTGCGGGATCAGAATATTTCCCGCTTTGCTATAGGCCTCAGTAGTTTGTCTCCCGGTTCTTATTGAAACAGAACGAGGTGAAAACTCTTGTGATAATTTTCTAGTAAATCTAATAAAATAACTGTTGCCTCCAGGTAACAGTATATTTGCATACGCATTGTGTCTTTCTTTCGTGTGATTATTTCATTTGGAATTATTTTACCGTATATTAGAATATTTTATATGTGAGCAGTATCTTAAAAGTAAATATTTTATATACAGTTGAGCCACTTTATGTTGGTCATAAAAATTTGTATTGGGACGTCTCCAGATTTAATTGAAGAAAATGGAGGTGCTTTCTTAATTTATCATTATAAATTTTGTATTATCATAAATTCATACATCAAGTGCTCAAACAAACTGAAAAAAATCTAAATGATATTTTAAAGACCTGACGATGATGATATAGATAAAGAAAATACCATTAACTTTTATTTATTATTAAATGTTGCAACAAAATACATTCACATTAAACGCTGAAGCGAAGAAGTTAGAAAATGACAGTAAAATAAATAAACAACAGACGGGCTCTTTTGACTAAACTTATTGAGCACTTCATTAACATTTATGTCTATAGTGTAATATACTATATTCCTATGTGCCAAAGTTATAAGTCTATTTTTTCCTATTGTATTCCTCAAATATATTTTCAGTCTCCTAAAGATAATGTATAGCTCCTTTTGGTACTGTTGTTGTCACTGGTATTACTACAACTATTCTAAAATCTCGTGTACATAAAGAAACACTTTTGTTCCCTTCTATTAAACATTTCAATAACCGACGATTTGGTGTCTGGAAACTCCCTCCATTGCCTTTTCCATAGTAAATATTCAGCATGTATTTCTTCTAGTTATGATAAACGCATTTCTAAGAAGGTCATCCAAGTATGGCCATCCAAGTATAAAGTATGGCCAATTTATATATGTAAATCGTTGATGTTTCCTGATCCATATACCAAATAGGAAAAAAGAAGGTAGATTATCTTCATGAACTAAACACCTTCTTCGAATTTCTATAATCATCGCTTCTAAAAGTGATAGAAAGATAGAATGATTCGGGATTAGTAATATCTAGGTTGGAACGATCGACTATGTCTTTTCAATTATTCCAAAACAACTTCTGATGTTTCGGTCTTGGCAAGAATCCAAGACTGCAAGATTTGAGCAGTGGGACGTATAATGCACATAAATGGCTTTATGTCGATATTCACATGTGTCCCTTTAAACTCGCTAATAACACGAGCGCCATCATAACCTTGTCTTTATATTATTATATTCCCCCCTTGGTATTTCACATCCAAACCCAGATCTTTCAAAGTTTTCGAAATTGTATGTGAAATACTTTCCGCATTTGTAAATGTAGAAGTAAGACGAACGAAACACAAAAAAATTATCACAAATCTTCATCTGCTTCTGGTCGAAATACCTAAGACAGAAAAAAGACATTTGCTCGGTAGTTGCAACATCAGTAGTTTCATCAATCGAGACTGCGAAATGTTTCGATTTTTTTACTTGTTCTGTAATTTAATCTTTATATCAAAGAAACGCAGGTTTCAAGTATTTCGTTGTATATTGCGAATTTTACATATCGTTGTATATTACGAAATTTTTGTATATTTGTATATTTTTATTTGAAATTCGTAGATAACTTACCAGGGATTTCTCTCCAGACTGAACGCAAATCTTAAGAAAACCCTAAAATTTCCTTTATTTTTAGATAATAAATTGTCTAAATCAATTGGCCCCTGATTCCTATGTCCGCATAAAGGCCAAACCTTGTTTTCCGCAGAGTATTATGTTTTGTATTATGGGCTTCAGTCGCTCTCGATTCTGTTTATCCTCTTCTGTATATTCTAAAACAGTCTATATATTCTAAACTTCTGTGTATTCTAAAATAGTTCACTAGGAAAAATTGGCATACTGACCTGGCTTGCTCGAGGCTGCCTAACACGGTTAATCTCCCAAATCCCTAGAGGTGATCCAAGGAGGCATTCGGGGGGGGGGAGAATTTCATTTTCACAAAGTCTGGGTTTTGTAACGCTTAGACAATGGTGAACTGCAACGAATCCACCGAAAAAACTTCTTCGATATCGAACCATGTAGTGCGCCCACAACCAAGGGGAATACAAGACAGTACCATATGATCCCTACCGAGCCTGAACCTAGCACCGAATAAACGATGGTTCAAATCACTGTAAACAGTGTTAATTTTCCCTCATAAGTCTGTCTAGGTACTGACCTAAGCAAAATGCCGGGATTGCTCCCAGTCAACGCCGTAGGAACAGAGGGTTGTAAAACAGAAAAGTGTGCTTAAATTCTTTTTTTCACTAAATAAATTTGATGTCATTGCGTTCCTGTCAGATAAATCCGCAACTTTTGACACAACATATTTTACCCGTTTTAGGGTTATTTCGAAAAATATAGGATAATTCTTATTTTTTCTCTGGAGTTTTGACAATCCAAAGAGTCCACAGAAAATTTAGGTCCAACATAATGCATTGCAAAAAATGCACAATATTTGTAGTATATTATGTCATCTACTTTGGAGTACCCAGCCGGGGAGACTTTCTGAACTACGTATACTGAAATTTTCTGGAAAACTCTTCGCTTGAAGCGCAACTAAATGGAAACTCGTAATTTTCGGATTGCTTCCATATAAGCTTCAGGAATGCAAGGTGTTCTTTCAGTAGCAGGAAATCGTTTTCATCTATACTTAAAATTTTTAAAGCACAACAAACTCTCTTCATTATTCTCATTATTATTAGTTCTACGATTACCGCAGGAACTAAAACTAAGTATGACAATACACATCAGTGAAACGCTCCATATTAGTTTTTGTTTTTCTGTCTTGGAAAAAAAATCAGGAGAGAAGCTTCTTTCTTTTCTCCATTATTTTTAGATCTGGAGTAATAACAATATTTTAATCTAATTAATGACTCATGTAAGGATTAACTTATCACAAAATGGCACAATGTTTGAGGGTACAAAGTAACCATAATCATTTAATAATAATATCATACTCAAATTCTCATGAAATCATGCTTAATTATAATAAGTGCTATTTTCAGTAATATTCTGTAATGGAAATTAAGACAATTGGCAAAACATTAATTACTAATCAAAATATTAATCAAAGTCATCGAATATCAAACTTCATGGCTTATATAAATTAAAATATATTAACTTTACAGACTTTATTCACCTGACAACAAGAATCACAAAGGACTCTACAATACTTTCGATAATTTAACTTAAAAAATAAAATAACTAGAGAAAAGTAGTTTTCAACCGAGTCAACGCTATAAGTACGAGTAAAATGACTACAAAAGAGGGAAAATTGTAGCTAACTTTATGTTCATTTTTTTTATGTTTAGCTTACGAGGTTTATGCAAATTGACAAGAGTAAGTTAAAACTGCAAATTGACAAGAATAAGTTAAAACTAGAATTAATTTTAATTGGCTTTTTTTGGCTTAACTTTTTCTGAGCAAATCTCTCGCCTCTATACCGCTGCTTACGCAACGAGCCGCCCATCAGAGTAGAATGTTGATTGCTGACATTAATTGAGTTTGGTATAGAAAGGTAGCACGGTGAAGTGTAGAAAGGTAAATTTATAGTTAAGCCAACACTTCCTAATAGAAGCTCGTGATGATGATTAAGCTGAAGCTCGTGATGTGTTTGAGCATGGACTTAAACAATTTAATTCATTTGTAAAAATTTGCTGTTTGTCAAATTTGCTGTTTTGTCAAAATGTGGCGTGTATTTCACGTTTTCGTAAAATCTTGCTACAGTCTCTCATTTTTTAATTACTACATAATGACACATAAGTAAGCAAAAAGCAGGCGCAAGCAAACATATAACAAAAAAGTCAGAAATATTTTCGTATATAATAAAGAAAGAACATCAGTGATTCATGGGAGGGGAAATCTTAGAAACAGCTTTTTTCCCTGAAATGGGAACTGAACTTTCAACAGCAACCTGCAAATATATGGATGGCATCGCTCAAACTCCGGTAACATCGGCGATGTACCACCAGATGCATTTCCTTCTTGTTCTGCGCAAGGAGCGCATTTTTAGCCCACCAGCGGCCGAGCAGTAAAGTCGCTGAGCACTGGTAGTTCAGTCCGAGGTTCGAACCCCGCGAACGGGCTGGCTGCATGGACGTTTTTGTTATTTTTTCCATGTGTAACATATAGCGAGTTTTCCTTAGAAAGTTCTCCACGAAGGCATCCCTTCCCTTAGGCAGATAGCCCTAGTGTGCTTTGCCATAATTAACTAAACCAAACCGAACCTTCTTATCCCCTTTAGAGATTTTGCGTTAAAGTTCTGTGTTTTTGAAGAAATTTTATCGCAGTTTCTTCCATCGCTAGAAAATTACACAAGCGCATATTTTAAAATTAATTTGAAGACGCAAAAGTTATGATTTGTTTATAAAATCGTTTGGAAAGCAACTAAAAGAACTCCTACAAAAATGGTGACGTTGCTTGACTGAAGGACTGTTATGAGCATGGTTGCCTGTGTTTGGCCCATTCTGAAAATCTGCCGATTTCTACTAAGATGGTTGCAATAACACGTAAATACCTTTGTTTTGGGTCCACCGGCGGTCGAGCAGTAAAATCGTTGAACACTGGTAGTTCGGTCCGAAGTTTGAACCCGCGAACGGGCTGGCTGCATGGGCGTTTTCGTGGTTTTCCCCATGTGTAAGTGTATACGAGCCAGTTTTCCTTAGAAAGTCCTCCACGAAGGCATCCCTCCCCTTAGGCAGATAGCCCTAGTGTGCTTTGCCTTATTCACAATACACCAATACACCTTTGTTTTGTGCTGTTTTTTTATTGTAATACCATAAACAGAGAAAAATAAAATTAGATATTTGATTTCAAACCTTTTTTCATAGTAAATAATATGATTATTATTACTATTTTGTATTTCATAGTAAATAATATGAGAGGAGATGATTTTCCAACTGCTGAAAGTTTTCATTTGGCTTACTCTATGAATGATGAACAGAACTACAGGTTACCCTTAGTCCGAATTTTTCCAGAAATTGAACTGTAAGTACTCTCATGAAAGATGTTCCTTGATCACACTGCATCTCTTTAGAAAATCCTATCTACC